CGTCCACACCGTCCAAAAGCATAGAAATTTGAAAAATACCGCCTTGTTGCTTGCGACTCGCACAACAACCACTTTCTTTGCCGTTTTGAAAAAACACTATTTTATTGTTTCTGACATTTATGCCTCCATTCGCTTTGGCGCTGTCGTTGCCTGCTTGTGCCGGCAGCCAGAAATCACTCGTTTGGAAGGCGCTCTAGAGCGCTGCAAATAGGAGACGTAAGTTATTTGTGTGCAGTGGTAAATGAGTGAGTTAACACATTTTGAGCGCACGCTTTGGTTAGTTGTTTTGAGTGGAAACATTTATGAATTGAGTGTAGTTAAAAACAGAAATCAGCTGTTTGGTAATAAACTATCGGGAGGTTGTTGTTGTAGCGGCTATTCATTCCTGCCTAGATCTGTTCCTCAATCGTTGTCGTCAATTTCAACTAACGGGAAACTCCGACTGGGTTGGCCCAAAAGGACAGAAGCGTTAGTTGAGTGGTGTTTTGGGGGATTCCGAAGCGGTGCCGTGAGTCATCAGGTGACTCTCCGCATCTCGGGCACACCTGTGTTTAGCGAAGTTGGGCTGTGATGGTCTCCCAAAGTAGACAACGGAAGCGTATCTCGTCTACCCAACAAGCTGCAAGACGTCACAAAGCCTTAGCCAGCGGACTGATTTCCACCTACTTTCTATATGCTGCTCCCATTAAACAAGAGCTGCTGCAGTAGCTAGAGCGAAGTAGGTTTATTGTGGTCCGAGTCTCCCGAGGCAGACGTTTCGTCCACGTCAGGTGGTTGGGTGCCCAGAGCGGCATTCACAGGTCTGCAGTCTACGTAACTTGAGACCGACTCCCTGTGAATGCCGCTCAAGTCCTGTCGATCTACGCCATTAGTCGGTGTGCAGAGATAAGTTTACGACCCCTAAGCAACACTCAGGCGACACTAAAGGCACTTTTATTCTTCGAGCTTAATTCATCTCTAGTCCAAGGGTGAATTGCGAAACTTAACGCCTTTGATGAACACATTTAGTTACTTTTGGTACCCGGTCACAAGAGAATAGAAGGAAAGAAGGCACGCATATGCTGCTGGTACAGTGCAGTTTTCTGCGGAGCCCGTGGGGCTCCCAAGCCCCGCTTCCTAAACAAATCCGAAATCGATATCAGTGGATGTTCCATCGATTGCAGGGTTTTCGTCGAGCTCAACTACAAGAGGTCTAGGATTCGAAGTCGGACTCCGAAACTTATAGCACGCTGACCTCCCGAATCGATGCAGTCTAGGAAAGAGGCTATAGAAATTACCAAAATGGTTCCCCTTTCGCCGGCAAGTTAAAACGGTTTGCTTTGAGGAGAAAACTTGGCTACAACTTTCGAGAGTACAAAGTCAATTTGTACTACTACCGTGGCTGGTGATTTTGTTTAAAAAACGCTGGATAGTCTACTAACAAAATAATGAAAAATGGATGTCTGAGTGGCAACACTGCACAGGAGTAATAACAGGCGCTTAAAAACTGGATGCTATGTAGTTTATGGTCGAGCGTAACATCTTCTGGGAGAGCTAGGAAGAGAGAAAGATAGAACATACTTAAGTTCTTAGCGAGTAATAAGTACTTAACAAAAAACCGAATATTGACAAGCTTGCCCTTCTCAACACAGATTGAGAAAAAACGAGTGAAACCAATAAGTGCAATCAGTATTAAAGCAACTCAACTAAAAAATATTTTAAAACGATAGTATATAGGAACTTGGCTACAAACCGACGATAGCAGATAAACCATGAAGGAATTGTGAAACGTATAAATAGCATGAGAACGCAAGCAAAGTCAATTTGGTGGCACATGCTTAACACCGCTAAGCGGGTATACAAATCAAAGTACAAGATGCGAACATGCTACACACAAAAGGTACATTGAAAAGGAATATGCAGCAATACAAAATAAGCGGCAACGAAAAATATGGTCATAAGGACAAAAACCAGAAATTTGCCGTCGACGTTGAATGCTTCAATATTTACTGGTCCTTACCTATTAAGGAGCTCTGTGAACATAATTCTATGTAGCTAAGAAACTGAGATTGCAAACAGCGATTGAGACTGCGACCGAATCTGCGATTGCGACTCAACAACTGCAGCCATGCTATGCATGAACCCAACTGCCGAAATGCCAAACGTGTCACGCCAGAGCGTAAGCGTAACAAAACGTGAGAAAACCTGTTAAAGGCCAAATGCCGAAGTAAACAATAGACATATTCAAAATAACGCTAAGGAAGAGCATGCAGATGGCTGCAATAAAAGAAAATAAGTGCTGTGAAAATCGCGCAAAAATAAAACAGAATAACGAAAATGTTGAAGTCGATATGGGTACACACACACACACACACATCCGCACACTAAAGTAATATGTAGTTGTAGCGTAAAGGTAGACAGGCAGGCAGCTATCCAGAGGCTAAAGAAAAGTCAAAGGAGTGCTTCTTGTAGGCAGTCAGAGCAATCGTTCGAGTGTTTGTAGATGGGGAAAGGTGGCAGCAAAACGGGCGCGGTCGGTAGTTAAACCATTGAAGTCGCTCACAACTTTCGACGCTTCAGCTATGTAACGACCGACGACAGCGTCTAGACCAAGACAGTGCGAAAATTTTTAACATACGAAGGAACTTTCTTCGCTGCGCTGTAAAAAAGTGAATGGTGAGTGTGGAAGGAGGTGTTATTTGATTTGCGCGTGTAGTATACATACGTTCATACATAGGTGTGTGTGGAAGCTTGGGTTAATGGAATTGAATTAATGTTGACTTTAAAACTTCTGTTAAAAACTTGCAACGATTGAGATTAAGACATTTATAGCCAGTTTCACGAAAGCAATTTAAATAAAACATTATTACTTTTTATTTGAATTTAATGTAAAAACTGGTAGAAATGAAAAAATCATTTTCCACTGAAATAGCTGGCGAAACCGACAATTGGATGCTTACTTTAACGCGAGTAAGTAAAAGGAAATTAAATGCATTTATTAATATTTTTAACAATCAAAAAGAAAAAAATATAAGGTAAAATGCATATATGTATAGTATGTACATATAGTAAATCAATAAAGTTTAGGTACGGAGTTTTTTGCAATACGGGCCACAGTCTATTAAATATTTTATTTTTCGCTAATTTTTTATGCAAATATAGTTAATTTTACAACCCCAAAAATCAGAATTCCAAACCTGGTGCAAAATTAAAGAAAATTCTGCATATTTTCATTCAAATATTGCACTTTTTATTTACATTCTTTATTTCAATTCTAAAGCTGAGTATGCAGTTTTTAGCCCATTCAATTTTAGTATAATAAAGTGCACGTCTGAGGAAGCTGGGAATTACCATAGATTTTTGGCAAATTTTTTTGTTGGAGGTGTCGCTCATTTTTTCCATATAAAAACTTTACGAAAATTATTTCCTCGGACGTGCATAGGCTAAAAACTGCATACTCAATTTTAGAAAAAGTGTAAACAAAAAGTGCGATATTTGAATGAAAATTTGCTGAAGGTTTGGAGCTCTGATTCTGGGGGTTTTATTGTAGAATCAACCATATTTTTATAAAAATAATTTTTGCGAAAAACAACATATTTAAAAAATATTCACTGACTGTACATAAGTACATATTTTTTTTTCACACCACTGCTCATAATTAAACGACTTCGTTCTCTCAATTAATCAACTTTTGTTAAAGCAAAAGTTTTCAAATCAATTACTTTGAAAAATTGTATTACTTTCAGGGAAAAAATTTCCCCTCAGAAACATCATTTAATCCTTTCACTTATCAAGTAACGCATTAGATTACATCGTCCTTGCTGTTGTCGCAGTCATTGCCCGTATCCTTTCGTAACCAACAAATACATACAGTACATATATCAACAACGCAAATAAAAAAAAAACTCTTTTTGGGGTTGTTATTGACGCCACTTGAAAAAGCCGGTAAATCATATGATGCGCACCTCTTGGGTGCCGCGACAAATGTCTAGAGAGAGTTTCCACTGAGAGGGATAATGAAACGAAATCAACATATCGAGAGCGTCGTAGGGATTGTGAGAGCAAAAGCAAACGCGCATGTTGCCAAAATTTCTCATCATTGCGTGTCTAAAATGAAAACAAAAATAAATTACTCACAAAGCACTCAACACTAGTTGCGGCAGTATGAGTATCAGCGTTCGGACGTTGCTCCGATAGCAGTAGATGCACTCCGATAGGAGCATTTGGACAACGCTTTTTTTTTGTTTTTTTTTTACAAATTTGGGAATCCATCAGTCATAAAAGTTAAAATTTTACTAGACTAGATATAAAATTTTAAAAGTTTTTACTAGAGCCTGTAATTTGGGTTAAATTTTTGAGATTATTTTGTCACTATTCAAAAAAGGGCGCAGGTGCAGCGCTAAAAGTAAAGTTAAAAAACAAACATTAAAAAAAAAGATATCCAAATCCATTCTGATTTGAAGAGTAGTCAGATTTTTTGCCACAACATGATTTTATCCACTGTGCATCTCTAAATGGCAAACTGTTTTTATGCGAAGCTTTTTTATGGCAGCCATAAGTACACTATCGTCTCCAAAGATAAACAAGGAACGGCTACTTGGTCTTTTATTGCTTATTTTTCCAACTGAGCACATAGCATACCTACGCACAGAATAAATTATTTACCCAAAAATATTTGGTTTTATCTCCTTAAGTTTTGGTATGTATTCTAAAGTTTGAACAGAGTGATCTTGAGCTTCATAAATGATAAATTTCAAGCAAATGAAACAAATTTTAAACCGACTTCAAAAAAAGGAGAAGGTTATCAGTTCATCCGAATCATTTTTTTTATGTATGTTACCGCATAATCTCGGTTTTGTTTTTTGCTTAAAAATTACTTGTTATTTATGTATGTACTAAATTTCCACTTCTTCGTAGTAATATCGAAAACCCATTTACAAACGTCTCCTCTTATTTACAGGTGGTTCTCACAAAATAAAAAGTTTTTCCTAAAAATATTAATTTTCTCCAGTTAAACTTACCATTTGCAAAATCCGTGGGATCGAAATCTTCCTCGTGACGTGCGCGTTTTTCCACTAAAAAGAAAATATTTATGGTTAGTAATATTTCATCATAACTATGATTTTCGTTTACTCACTTGAAATAAAGTCACTCGATGTCCGCGGCCGTATTTTTCCCATAAATTTGCTGATTTTGTTATCGTTATGTGGTTCTTTTCGTTTCGACTGCGGCAACGGACCTGGGCAATTCTCATCTAACACTTTCGAACAGGGACGGTGAATATTTAATTTACAGTCTGTAGAGAAGAAAAAAGAACAGGTTAAGAAATCGATTTTAAGAATTTTCAAATCATAATCAATTTATAGTACAATCTATGATACTACAATCGAGACTAATGGACTAGCAAACCCGGCAAACTTCGTACCGCCCAAAATTTGTATTTTTTTATTGAAACTTTTTGTTCCAACATTTTTACCAGCAATTCACGTTTACGATTTTCATTGGCACATTTATCTGCCAAGATTAGGGTTTGCTAGTCATTTACCGATTTAAATAAGCTAAGGGAAGTATTATATCCGTGAAGAAGTTCTTGAAATTCTCCAACTGTGCAGCATTTCATGGCACGGTTATTCGGAAAACGAAATGAATTTGAAGAATTTTTTCCTCTTCACTCCCTGGCAGCAACAATGACCCCGTTGTATAGTGAATCTGTCCTAGAAGCTTTATAGTATAGTTGGTGGCAATTTCAAAATGGGTGCGTATCATTGTTCTACAGAAATACTATATACATATACTTATTTCACACGACGCATAATAACATTGGAAAATCACCGTAACACAGGAAAGTTCCATATACCCAATGGCGCAACAGGTCGATTTAATCTGACATTCACGGCACTTTTTCTCACTTGGCTATTTTAAGTAATAACTCGACCCAGCGCCACTTGGCAGCACTTTTCGGCAATAGTATTTCTCTTACCATAGCCAATACATATTTTAAATATTAGCCAAATCGGATCATAAATTAGATTTTTAGTAATAACTCAACTACAGCGCCAACTGGCGGGTTAAATTGTGAAACTAAACCATTCAGAGACTCAAACACACACAAATTTCGTTAAAAACCGGGCACACGTGTAGGGGGATTTCACTCTCAAACACACCTACAGAAGAATTAGAAATACATTTAAAGATAGCTAAAAGTCGGTACGTTTATAGGGCTCACGTCGTCTTTTCAAATAGCCCCACTTTTCTCCATGTGTATGGGCTTGTTTTCATATACATCTCCATACGAAGTTCCAGTACTGTACCATGAACACTTTCAGATATATGCAGTATAAAAATTCGGTTTGTATGGGAGGTGCCACGCCTCCTTTTCCAATAGCTCCAATTTTGCTCCAAGATTATGCGATTGGTTTCGTATATCTCCATACCAAGTTCCAAATCTCTACCAAGAACACTTTCAGAGATATGCAGCATGAAAATTTGGTTTGTATGGGAAGTGCAACGCCCCCTTTTTCAAAATAGCTCCAATTTTTCTCCAAGAGTATGCGATTGATTTCGTATATCTCCATACCCAGTTCCAGAACTCTACCATGAACACTTCCAGAGATATGCAGTATGAAAAAATTCGGTTTGTATAGGAGGCGTTACGCCCCATTTACATATGTAGTTTTAGCCTAAAACCATCCTTGGGACGCTTGGGGCAATTGTCCGAAATTTAAAAAAAAAAAATCCGTTTAGCCGTTCTCAAGCTTTGCGAACACAAAAAAGAACGGCTTTCAAAATATATATTGGTATAGATTATTTAGGTGAATGGATGGAACTGATCACAAAAAGAGCACTGGACGTACAGCCTGACCCTTGATATTGCACCACCTGAGGCAGCTACTTACGAGTAATAATCGGGAATGAAAATTTGAAAGGATAAAAGAGAAGATGACGGCTTTTCGGTCTGCCGGGTCCGAACGCAATGAGAATCATTGGGGTTTGAACAAGGTTTGCCTGGTTTCAGTGATTTTCATAGAAGAAAAAGAACTGTTTGGTAGTCTTTTAAGTTTCTAAAACACCCCCGGGAAGACGATACGAGTTCCGACCGACCGTGTTTTAACTCCACCTTTCATAAACTTAAGTAAAAATTAATTCCAAAACCTTCTTTTCATTTAAAGGTACTGATACATTCCTTAGAAATGTGGTTTCCACCCATGTTCCTGCGGCCAGGAACCCAAGGGACAGTCCTTCTCTAGAAACAATTATTCGTCGTCCCGGTATTGTAACCCAACTATTGTGGGAGCTACATATTTTCTAGGGAAATCGGCCAGGATCCAGAATATTTTTTATAGGTGAAGAAAATAAAAATACACATATTAACATTGAGTGTCGATTTCATGTTTCTGTGTATTTCATATATCCACGCAGAGCGTTAATAATTGAAGGCTATTGTCCCAGGGGATCCGAAAAGATCTTCTGAGTGTAATATGGAATTGCTCTGATTAAAATTACCTTACATAGAAGAGTTGATCTTACAACAACTGCTGCTTACACCAAAGCTCGATGTATAGGTTCAAAACCCATTTTTTGCCTGTGGTTCCTTTGCGCGTGTATAGATCTTAGAAGCATTTTCGCCACTCTGAGAAATATTCCCTTTTCTAGTTCAGCTTCTCATACAACTTGATGCCTAGAAATTTGGCTTTGTTCACAAGCCTTAGAAAAACTTCGTTTATCTCTAAGAGTTAGAGGTCATATTTTGTATTCTGTTGTGAAACAGACCTGTTTCAGTTTGGACTAGCTGAGCACACCACGATCTGGCCTTTGCATCAAGTCACAAAACTTTCGTCAATATTTACATTTGTACACCACCGCATTGATATTGGCGCCTCCATACCATTTTAGACACATGGGCGTACGCAGGTCCTAAATTCCAAAGTTTCAATGTAAGTTTCTTTCTATGAATTCATAATCATCTTCCAATTCAAAAAATTTATGCAATAAATCAAAACTTTGGGTGTTTTCACATCCATTCCGGTAGTTTTGGTAAACTGCAGGTTGTTCCTTGATAATTTTATCATCCTCCTATCGTCCTTTTCAGCTTACTTTTGTTAGTCTGATAAACAGTCATTTACTTAAAAAAAGGTAAAAGAACTATTATCTTTTAACATTTTCTCTTAGTTTGCACTTGAACTTAGGTTTAGGTATGCTTAGCGTTCACAGAGGTTTTGTAGAAAAAAACAAAAACGAAATCATCTCTAAAACAATTTATCGATTTGCAGAAGACACTCGAATACTATTGTTTAAATAATCAAGTAATTTTTTAGCGAAAAAACAAAACCGACTTCAATTCTCATATAAAACTTTAAGATTACCGTTAATTTCTTCATGATCCAATAATCGGATCTAAACCAAATTAAGATGGGACCACCTCTGAGGTACCACCTCATCCAACATAAAAAAATATTCCGGCAATCTAAACCAAAATACTATGGGACCTACCCTGAGGCACCAGAAAAAGAATTATCGAAATCGGTTAAAGTGGTCCAAGCTATGCGGTAACATACATAAAGAAATTATTTCGATGAATTTATAACTTCCCCCATTTTTTGAAGTCGGTTAAAAAGAGAAAAATTAATGAGATAAATTATTATAAATTTTTAATAGCTATATTTTAACTTTTCTAATAAAATCTACATTAAAAAAATCGCAGTCCAACCTAAATCATGCTCTGCGTACGCCCATGTATACTCAGTACCATTCTAGAACGCACTGATTTGTGTGAACAGAGCTATCTTATTTATGAAACCGAGTGTTCAAATTTAATTTCGATAAATTCGTTTCAGTAAAAAATATAAAAAAGAATGCGCTGCTAAAGTGAAAGTCACGGTCGAATAGAAATTCGAATCGGTTCGCTAGCATAGACCGGAATATTTGGGGAATTTACGGTTTCATTGGACCTAAGCGTTTATGTCTAGGAAAGGCTACAAGAACCTTCCAAGTGAAGTTTTAGGTATCTTTAAAACATGCAAGACTTAAGTTTACATTAGAGTCGGACAAAAAAATTATGAGAAAATATATTGTACTTTGACATCGAGGGGGCTTTATTAGCAATAGCATCGTCGACAATAATAGCTTCCCTCTTCGCTGGGGAATAAATCTGATCGGTGTCACATTGATGCCCTGTTAAACTAATCAAATTAATCTACAGAAGACAGAACTCTGTCTCAACTATATATGACATAGTATATAGTAACTATAATGACAAACATGTACCAAGAATAGAACTTCCCTATAATGAGTGAACGCTCAGGTCTGGTGTATTGTGGATTCGTAACGGAAGTTACTTTAAGCGAATGCGATGCGTTCATCAGGAAATCAAATAATTTCCCCAAGCAAGCTAGAATTTACTTAGAAAAAAAACTAATTTTCCACGAGAAGATCATCAGAATAGCGGTAAAGCACGGTTATTATAACACAGGTGGTGACTAGGAAGCATTGGAACTAGCCAACTAAAAAAAATAGGTTCAATGACCGCAAAGGCTTTTTTGGTGTAAAGTGAAGAATATTAAGGTGTTCGAAAAATGTAAAACAGTTTTGAGAACAATTCGGTCAGACCTATGAATCTCTTCTAGCTTACTTAAAATATACGTGTGAGCCTTCTTTTAATTTTAAGGAACGGTGATATCATTCAATGAGATAGTAATCATTTCCAGATATATATTTTTTCCAATTCAATATACAAATTTTAAGCTTAGATGGATATAAGGTAAATCCTCAACACACCTGTACAATGGTAACCTTGTGGGCTCACACCCCAGATAATTGTCTGACAATGATTACAGTGGGTCACTTCGTAGTATTGTCGCAATACCAATGGATGACCACGAACAATCATCTGAAAGGAAAAATATCAATTTTGTATACAAATAATTAAAGTATATCTCAGATATGTGCCTTACTTTCCGATTTTTGCCCATAAGACGCGATTTGAAACTCTTCTCACGACTAACAAAGTGATGCACACGATCCACAATACTGTTCGGATGCGAGCGTGTTATAAATATACGATGTATTACAGTTGATAAGGCCGAGCAAAGCGCCAATTTCTTGGGATCCTCTAGAGGTAAGTCTTTTTCATATTCTTCACTGCAATGGAGAAAAACGTTAGGAAATTAGAATCAAATAAAAATTACTTTGCGTAAAAAATATATGTACTACATTTGTAAAAAAATTAAAAAGTTTAAATACTGCAATTTCTTTTGGTGAATCACCCGAATGAAGCTTGATTTTTCTTAATTAACTCACATCAACACCTGCAGCTTTCGCATGAGCGTCTCCTCAAAGATATGCTGCTCTCGTTGCTTATCGCCGCGTGCCTCTGCCAGTTGCGCATCGGTCGGCCCATAAATTGTGCCCAAACCTTCGGTGCGCGTCTGCTGGAATTCACGCAACTGCGCACAAATCGTATCCCGCGCACACTTTCTGCTCTTCCAGAATACTTTACGTAAAATTTCCACCTTATCGAATTCGCTTTGCAGCACATTGTCGACCTCGCGCGCCAGCGATTCATCCTTGCGATACCAGGAGAGCGGCGCACGCGGCACCAGGAATGTTGAGTGTATCTCATATGCCCACTTGCGCATATCTTTGGCCGTACCTTCCTTATACAGGCCGGTAATTAGGTAGAAGAGCAGCGGCGCCGGCTCCGAGTTGGATAGCACGTAGTTGAGAAAGACCGCCAGGAAGGCGACGTTCTCTGACTCAAGCAAGCGTTGCAGATAGTTAAAGGGGCCATTCTCATCGATGAATGGACCCTCCTGATCGGAAGCATCTTCGTCCTCCATGGAGATGATCTCCTTTTGGGTGGCGTTCGTTTGTGCGGCTAAAATGCGATTGGAATGTGCGGTGGCGATGGTTGTGGTGATTGGTGGTGTTGGTGAAGCTGCGCCAGCGAGTGGTGTAAAGTGATGTGATTCGATAAATATGCCGCCACCGCCACCACTACTGTCATGCGCCGAATGTTGTTGCTCTTCCGCGCCAGACATGTTCAGATACGGGGGCGGCGGTGTGCCAGGCGGTGTTACTTCGTCATCCTTCTCCGCGAGCTCCCAGGAACCAGAAGTGGTTTTGTTGAAGCGATCTGAGAATTCGAAAGGATTTTTTTTTTATTAAAATAGTAAAAGAGAGTGCAGAATTTGTTCAGAATATTTAGCGAACAGTAAATGCGGTTTTGTAAGTAGTTATTACGATATTATATGCGCGTAAGAGAGCAAAGACTTCCAGCTTCGAGATAATTGCTTACTTTCAAAATAAAAAACCCCAAAAACAGATAACTAAATAAATACTTCAGTCGATCTACAATCAAATGGATCAACTTTGAATCTAAGAAAAACCTTGCTTCTAGAAAGGGCTGAGGCAGAGACAGCCCGTAAAATGACGGACATTTCACCAGCCTGTTCCACGGTACCAGATCAACACGGATCTCTGAACAGGGTTAGATCCCAAAAATATAGTCCTTGCTCGCGTAAAACTCAAGCCAGTTTGATAAGTAGAACTGGCTATCGTGGAAATGTTGTTACACCTTCCCATAGGCTCGTCTCTTCGAATTAAAGGAAGAGACCCCGGAGTATATATATCCAACTAAAATTGGACGCGACGCTGTACCTGGGCTACCGTTAGCTGAGGTTGACAACGAAATTTTCTGATCTAGGCTAAGTAGCCACTTTAACAACAACAATGATTTCACGAACGCGTCATTCTAACCAGAGACACAACCAACCGACTGTCATGGCAATGCTACTAGAGTATATTCAGACATTCCCTCACCTACAAGGATTGAAACTGTAAAGGGTGATCATCTGAAAGATCGACAAACAAGTGTACTATTTAAGGATCACCCCTCAAATTTTAGAAATAAATAACCATGGGTCAACAGACGGTCATGCTTTCTTCCTGTGAATGCATCATTTTTGCATTCCACAACTCTCCAAGGCATAAGAGGGACCTTTACTGCTCTCTGACGATTGTACCAGACGAAGAGCTTTAGTTGCCTGCTAATTCTCGCGTTCCATTGAGCCAACTCTGCTTAGGCCGCACGATACTAACAACCTCTTCACATGTCTCTCAAACCATTCTTCACGACGGCTAAACAACAACATTTAACCAGTCCTCATATACGAACATAGGAACTTGTGTAGTAACAAGAGGGCTGATAAAGGATCGGTAAAATATCTTGACGAGTCCAATAGAAATAGAATAGTGTCTTCGCTGCCGCGAAAAGAGGGTTATCGGACGATAAGACTCTCCCTTTTGCCCGGTTTCCCGCAGCACCCAATCTTTTCAGCATCAGCATACATAATCTGTGGTCCTAAGGCTTTGGAGGCTTTTGCATTCCCGGTGAAAACAAGAGGCGCACTAGGTGTTGACAGTTTGTGGCGCCTTCTGGTCACTCGAAGTTTGGCTTTGTCTGCCGGAGGATACAGCGTAAATTGTAGTTACTCAGGACTTTTAGTGCATGCGTGACTGAAATAGGTATCTCATATAACATTCACAGAAGTAGCTCCAATAGTGATGGTAATTTGCACTTGACGGAATCCATGTTAATGTATCGTCGGGGTCAGGTAGTACATGAATTACGGGAGAAGCATGGCCTCAAGTATCTTCACTACTGGGGAAAGTAGTCATTGGGTGATACAACTTTCGTTTGTGGGACGATTTCTTAGGTTTCAGTAGTGTAACCACCTTCCTAGACTTCTACTAGTAAGGAGTGCTGAGCCTACCCATTCACAGGTTGTGAAACTTGGTGAGCTAGGGTACTCAACATCAAATGGGATATACCGACGCGTCGGAAACAATTGCTTTTGAGGCTCTAATTTTATGCAATTTGTACAGCCTACTTTTCACTTCGCATTTGTCTTACCTACCGAAGAATGCTGAATAAATTACAGACTAAATTGGCAATACCCAATTTATTCTAGTTGAACTGTGTTCTAGGTTTTTTAGTAGTTTACGCAGCTTCCTATTTACAATTGATTTTTAACAACGCGGAGTATCGAGTTTCCTGAACTTACATTTAGAGAATTTTTTCGACTTTGATTTGATGCCTAAGTCAGATCACCGGGGTAACACCTAACCTTGCCAACCAATCAATTAGTGGTTGTCATACATGGGGTATATCTCTGATCTTTTCGATAATTCGCGTTCATCTAGCAGGTAATCCCATGAGAAGGAAGAATTAGGTGGGCCGTTAGGAATTCCTGCAGGTCTGTAAATCCCCCAGCATCTGTCGATAATACTGATAATTTCGCACTCGAGGACGAGCAGCTTGTCAAGTTTTGGACACATTCAAAAATTGTATACCGATTAGATAACTTCTATAAACCCTTGAGGTCGCAAATTTTGCAGAGCAATATTTAGTGTCTAACAACTGTAAACACTAAAAATGACATGACTTATAACAATAATTTATATTAAACCTAAACCACTTTTATTCAACAAACCGTAAAACACAAAACTGGGATACGGAATATGATAATGAAGTATGTATGAACTCGTGGCAAAATGCAAAAAAAAGGAAAACAATATTTTTTAATTGATTAACAAATTATAAATTAAATAAGTAAAACAACGACGCGTTCAACTAAGCCGTATGATTTCAATGAAAAAACTAATAGACTAATCGCAGCAACCCAAAAGCACAGTGAAAACAGATTTTGAGTTTAGAATTGCAGAGCATTAACCCTTTGTGGTGCATGTGGCAATACCGTAACAAATCTCAATAATTCAGCCGCATCAAACAGAGGTAAATAAAAGTTCGAATATATATGTAAGACAAAAAGCAAATCTACTAAGACAGAATTTTTACCTAGTTTCAAAGGGGGCGGTTTTGCCAAATAAGATCACAACGTTTGCTGGCTCTCTTTTGGATCTATTTCGCTTACACAATAAAATATGTATTACGTTATACGAGTAGAAAAAAAAGTTGTAGAAGTATTCTTTTGAACTTGAAAAATTATCGAAATCCTTGAAAGTCTGGGCACTCTCACTATACTATCTAAATTTGTAGCAGAGCTAGTTTACCATTTGGTCGAGTTTTAGAGAGTTAAATCCATCATAAAATTACCCATAATGATTTCGTTTAGCGCCAGGCTAAGCTACCCAAAAAAACTTAAACAAAAACATGGAACAGCTATTCAGTCGTTGGGCTAATTTTAGTAATCTTTAATAACACTGGATCACAAATTTTAAATTGGTTTTTGTTCTCCAGACGCCACTATCCAATTTCTATGTAGAATTGCTCTATGGCTCCGAAATTCGGGTTGACTTGTTTTCTATGGATACGTTTTCGAGATATTTGCAATTGGTTCCTTTTAAAATACGTATGTATATCTTACGAGTCAATTTAAAAATCATAAAATACGGCAAATAAGAGCCAATGAAATTCTCCATAAACCGTATATACATCACTTTCCGATAGGGCTTATAGTTTCTGATAAATTATTAATAATTAATTATTAAATAATTAATAAATTTTAACGAAAAATTAAAAAAAAAAACAAATTTTAACAAAAGAAAAATTAAAAAAAATAACAGGTTCTATGCCAAATTTTTGGCATTTGTACTAAAGCCTGTTCTGTTAAACAAAAAAAAACAAGTTACTGATGAAGAAAATCGATGGATAAATACGAAATAATGATTGGTCAAATGAAAATGCGCTTAGATTTTTTGTATGAAATGCGAGCAGTAAAGCATGTTACTCATACGCCACGTACGCCCTAAGTAACATGCTCCACCATATAGATTGGACCTTCCACCGTCCGACTTGGATTATTGCTTTAGTATCTACATGGAGTTACCCACCAGGGAAATCTTAACATCTATTTAAGGCTTTTCCATTTATAAGTTTCGGCAGCAATGCCCAGAACCTAATTAACGTGCGGAGCACCATTTCAATATCAATGATTTTCCCCTGAGGCCTTTGACGTTAGCTGCCTGCTGTTAGGAGTACCTGCTGTTATTTTCAAAGCATTTAGGAATATTTGTCGATGTATTTGGTTATGAAAACATTGGAATCGTCCTTTGCACTTTGTATAAAGACATTTTAGTGCATGGTATCTGCTATGAGACAGAGTTGATTCTTCGCAGATATAGGGAACCGTTTCCCTACAAGCCTCAAAATTGCAGTCACATCATGGGATGGTGCATGGGAAAGCCTTTTTAGCCGCGAACGGTTAAGCTCGACGACATCTTTCAATCCGCTAGAGTCTCGAGGGACAGCACTTCGGTAACTGAAAATACGCACGGCCTTTTTACTTCGTCGTTGTTGTTAATTTTTAACAACCAAGAGTTTCTTTCTATGTGCTGCTGGCAAGATGCTAGCATAGTTTGGTAGTTAATACAATAGACATCTATGTTTGGGATGCCTCAGAGAATACGCTTCCTCCACACTAGAGTTCATTTTGGACCCAGCAACATGGGTGGCAAAGGAATTATCCCCTTTACTCTGCCGTTTACTAGTATCTGCTGGAAGGAAATTCAGCGTTGTCTTTTAAAATTAGTTTTTTTTCCACATTCATTTTTAATGTTTACATCACAAAGGGTTAATATATGTAATTGCAAGCGTGGCGCATAAAAACCAAAAGCAAACAGATGCAAAAATATATATCAGTTTAAATGCAGGAAATTATAATGGCAGAAACAAAACAGAAACTGACGACTTGCTTTGTAGCGGAAGATGATCGTCGACAAACCGTTGGACCAATGACTAAATGCTGCTACTACATATGTAAGTATCATTCGCGCATACATACATACGATATCAGTGCATCCCTGTTGGGAAAACTTGAATTACTTAGAGGCCACAATTTCCTAGATTTTTTAACGGTAAAAAATATTTGTTTTTGTTTATGCAAAAAAACTAGAAAACAAAATAAGCATACACGCAGTTTTACTTCTTCAATTCGTGGTAGGCCTTGTTGGCATGGAACGATAAAAGGTGCGTGTTAAACCGGTCACCCAACGGCAGGCAATGGCAAACCTCCGAGTCTATTTGCGCCATGAAAAAGCACGAAAACATCTGCCATCCCCCTTATTTGTGTGGCAACATCAGGGCGCTCACCACAAATCAAATGAAAAGCTCGGCTAGGCATTTAACAAAACGAAGAAGAGTCAATTGTTTATTATTTTTATTTTTTTCACTTGGTTATAGTGGTAACTATGCAGCCAGAGAAGGTAAACTAGTTGGTATCGATTTTCCTACAGGCATCCAACTCCTTACCTAAATACACCTACAAAAGCGCTAACTTCTCAAATTCCAACAACGATTTCTAACTCATATATTGAGTTTCACTTGTTAGACAAGAATTATAAAAGTTTAACTGGCATATGAAGACTACTGAAAAGCCCTACATCTAGATAGTGACGACTGTTGACAACAGCCGTTGCTTGAGCTAATCTGCTCTTTTGCCACACTGCTAGGCCACCTGCTCACTTTGGTGAATACCACTAATCTGATTATAATTACCATGGGCAGTTTTGATATGGTTCAAAAAAAGTCATAGGTCTTGATTTATCAGGCGAAATGTGATTAAGGTCAGTGGTTTCGGAATGAGATGGACACAAGGACTAAATTGAATTAAAAACTAGTCGCCCGTACTTGGAGAGTGGTACCGAATGTGCTTTGCGTATAATGCTCGGTCTTAAAACTTTCATATCGCCTGAGACAGGATATTCGATTGAACTGAGTAGCCATGTAAACTCGAAAGAAATATTGTAGAGAAATTTCTTATAATAAGACTTTTTCTCTAGAATTTGAAACTACATACTATAGAATTGAAAAACATACTTAGTTAAAGCGAGGTAGGGCGTCGTTTATATCCAACAAAATTACAACTTGCAAAGTTAGTTGTATGTATAAATATTTTCTCTATTTGACGATCAGAATTACGTTTTGAAACTTTATACTCTACATATAAAAATGCCCAAATGAAATGTACTACAGGCCTTCCAGTCTTCAGTTCCAAAGTCAAGTATATACAAACATACTTACACATTTATAATCACTAATATCCACTCACAATTTTTGCAAAGACTACATACATACATATCGTCGTTTAAAGTACAAAACCGCGTACGTCGTTCTGCAAAACCGCGTAACTGACATTTTTTGTCAAAAATTGGTTTTCCCCACCGAAGCTCTTGGTTCAAGCCTTATCCATTCGTCCTGAAATATACCAGCCAGAAATACGATTGCTTTATAAAAAAAAAGAACAATTTTGAAGTATCAGTGTTTTTACTCTCCACAAAACTATTTATGCAACCTCACGTACGCGGTTTTGCATTATGTTGATACGCGGTTTTGTACTTTAAACTACGATATGTATGTATGTAAGTGCATACTACTCCCCCACTTGACCGTGATCATAGCGGCCGCCAGAGTAGCAAAACAGATGCCACGCGCTTCACGTAAATGCACATTTAGTCGCTTAATTGCCACGGAGATAGATGAAACTGTGCTTTGCTTTAGCAAAATTTAGTGCGATACTCACTGCGTAAGAATCTTCAAAGTCATTTTTACTTTTGGCATTTTTCAGGAATTTTTTGGAATGCACAAACTTACGTTGAGTTGAGTCAAGACCATTTGTGCTATTTCCATGGTGCCAAAGGGATATAAAGTGTAGTAAAAAGAAGCAAAAAAAAAAAATAGATAAATTCGAGTAATATTAACAATGCATTTTATCGCGTAATGCATTTTACTGAAGAGGTAATAAATTATGGACGAAATGGTAGAGAAGAGTTGTTGCACGGTCAAGGAAAAACGAAAGTGATCGTGAGCTTAATAAGAAAAAGCCCAACAAAACAAAATTAAAAATGCGAGTACAAAACTAAAATTAAAAATGGAATTATGGAATACACAAAAAAAAACGGAACGATGGAATTTTTATTTATTTACCTCTGTGATTTGCAGAACCTCATCGAAAGTTTTACGTAATTACGAAGGGATAAACTGTATGTAAATTATAGTGTAAAAATAGTACATATGTATATACACACAAAGAAGTCTGGTTTGAAAATTTAACGTTTTGGCTAAAATTCGCCTTTGAGTGCACAAAGTTAAAATAGAGAAATTCTCAGCGTAGCACCAGTCAAATTCATTCAAATAACAGTTACAAAGATGTTAGAACTTGTTCGGTTTTTTTTTAAGAAGTTCGTAATTCGAATGCATAGCTTTATATCAAATTCTAACAAATTCGCAACTTTAATAAATATTTATTATCATGTTGTTGTTGTAGCGGCTATTTAGCCCTGCCCTCATCGACTTGTCATTCAGACGTGGTCGCCAAGCTCAACCAACGGCAGGCCCAAGAAGTGTGCTACTCCAACTGGGTTAGACCAGAGGGAGGGCGTGTTAGTTAAGTGGGGTTTAGCGAGGTTTAGTGACCATGCGAAGAGGCGTGTCGAGTAATGGGGTGACTCTCCGCATGTCGGACATTCGTTGGACACATTAGAATTTATCCTACTCAGGTAGAAGTTTAACATACTGTAGTATCCAGAGCAAAGTAGGGCTATAGTGGTGCGAGTCTAGACGGCTGTTTGAGTGTCCTTGTCTATGGCACTCTACTGTGACAGGTCAATTGCCTTGCCATATTTCTGACTTGAGTCTATTGACAATAACGGTTGTGTGCGCCGCGATAGCGATCAGACTGTCAAAGGTAACTACGAGTATGTTGGGGTTGTTCAAAGTCGGAATTAGTTCGCCGTCGACGTGAATTCCCAGCTATAGTCTGACCTCTTTTGTTCAGGTGGTGAAAAGAGCTGCCGAGAATTTCGTAGGCGAGAGGATTAGGTTCCTTGCAGCGGGAAAGTTCCTAGAGGTAACCGTTTGCTTTCGAGCACAAGTCATCAATTCCATTTCCGGATACCATTATCAAGCAATCGTCAACGTATACTGCTGCTTTTATGTAATATTTTTAAGATTTAGCAATTTTAAGCTCAATCCCATCATCACTTATCATTCAACGATGACACTCTAGGAATTTCGAATTTCCGTTAATTCGGATTAAATCATAGCATTTTCGTAAATTTCCCTTTCGCCGGGAGGATCATCGCCCGAATGAACTATCAGTCCATGAACAGAAATTCAACCACGTGCCGTACTTTATTCGTACAGAGAAATATTTTCATACAAACATTTGTACGTATTTACATATGGAACATATAAACGTTCAGAAGATCTTCTAAAAATACTTAATAGTTTAATATTAGTATATATATCTATCAATTTACCTGGATGTCTGGGATGCATATTCTCTGGTGATGAAACCACGCGTCTATGTTTGTTGAGATTATTCAAATTTTGTGGCGTTTGCCCCAAGACCTAGAAAATTATGAAGAAGAGTGATTTTAGCAAATACATATGTAAAATGTAAATGTGCAATAATATAAAAATAAAAGCGCCAATTACCCAATATACAAAAAGCAAAAAATTTACACGGCATGCAATTGCGAACTAAGTAAATCAAAAAGAGGTATATTGTTTATTGAAAAAGCATGGGCCCAATTGGGGAACTTGTTCGAAGTAAATTTATCAAAAAACAGAAAGTAACAGGAGGGGTAGGAAGTGATGGGATATTGGTAAGAACAGGGCAGTTGCATTGGGTCATGCAAAAATCAAAATGTCGTTTATTCCTAGTGTAAAATATTTACAGTGTGGTTTTCTATCTTACTTAATAAATATTGCAGTAAACATGCCGAAAAAAGGGGAAGTGAAAGGTGCAAATATAAATTGTAAGCATAAATTTAAAACGTGAATTGTTGACGGGGATATGGACAATTCATTTTGGATAGGGGATAATGTAGCCCTGACACAGTTGTGCAAATATGTATGAAAGCTGGAAAGGTTTTTTTGTGGAGTTTAAGGAATATCCAAATTTAATGAACTTATTTAAAATTTCTCTCTAGGAGGGACCTTTAATTGGAGATAGCGAATATGGAATACTTTGTGGATATTTACGGTTTTGTGTATGTTTTAATGTAACTATGAAGTGTGCATATGAACTGAGTGGTGGTTAGTTTTTGAATATTATTTACTGATTTGTTAGTAAATATTTACAGTTAATTTTAAATGTCAAGCTATTTTTTTTAATGCATGAAAAGAAAACTGAATTCTTCAATCTACGAAAATTACATAAGTCGACGGTTATTTCAAAAAACTGACAGAACCTGCTTCCGGGAAATAGGAACGGCGAAAGCATAGAAAAAATCTGATTAATATGCGAACATATGTACATTAGATCGTACCACCTTACAAGCAAACAAACAAAAAATTCGCCGTACAGCCCTGATTCTAAAATTTTTTTGCAAGGCAATGCGAAAAAAAAAATTGCCGAACCTAAGGCGCCTCTCTTTTAAATTTTATTGAAACAGTTCTACTGGAATCACCGAAAAACCACCCTTTCATAATTTCAACGATTTTTGGCGAGCTTCATCTCTTTTGCTCCTAAAATTATTACTTTTATTTTATTTTTTTTCGATGTACATAATTATAGTTGTTGTGGGCTTTTTAATTAGAATTAAAGTCTAATAAATTAGATTAACGAGTAATAACAAAAAAAAATAAAATAAAAAAAGTAAAAAAATAAAATAATATTTATAATTAAAAAATAATAATAATAATAATAATAGTAATAAATATTTTTAAGAATCCCTCGGAATGGGGCTCGAAACTGGGTGCTACTGACTTGTAGTACGCAGTTCTGATCACTCGGCTATCGCGGATGCCAAACCCGGTTGCTTTGTTTGCTTAATATATTTTCGACGGTTTTGACCAGTGTTGTCATCGAAAACTCTCTTGATCTGACTTTTGGAAATTAACTGTAAGACTTAATTCTAATTCCCCCGAGATAATTTCGAATAAGCGAGGTGATCCGGGTCAGCGCTGCCGTCTGTCTATGCTTTTAGTGAAAGCAACTGAGAAGAACCAAAACATGTCTCTTCGAGGGAAAAACATCGATGTAACATACTTTAACTGTACTGACATTCGACGAATTCCCTTCGAGTCGAAATCCTTCCTTGGCAAAAGTTTAGTAATTTTTTGGAGAGCTTTAATAAGGTGAGAGTAAAAAAAAAAAACAAATTAAAATGCGAAAGTGTGTGGCGACCTTTTTTCCTGGTACGGTCTATCTTGTATGAATAATCTAGAAGAGAATTTACATCCAGAAAATTCGCAATTTTTTTTCTCATTTTTATTTTTTAGGATTTCACAAAAGCAATGGTAAGATATTTATGTACTTTTAGACCTGGAAGCTTCCGAAATATCCCTAAAGTTCTCGAAATATGACAAAATTCCGAGGTCAGGAAAAAAGCTCTAAAAATAAAGATTAAGGAATATTGAAATTTCCCGAAAAGTTTCGAAAAATTCCAAAAGCTCGCGAAAATCTCGAAAATCTAACTGAACTCAATTCCACGAGAATAGAGCCTGAAGCCTAGTGAAATTTAGTCATTATGCTCGTATGTAGACGGCTATCTATCTGCCTATTACGATCATATGGTGGAAATAAGACGGAATTTTATAATGACTTTTCCCTTAACCTTTAGATTACCATGAACATTCTTAAGGAATTTTAGTTGAGCTTACAAAGCCAGAAACGGATCCACAACATATGCACACATATATGTAGGATTAAGGAGAAAATATCTGTTATTGGCTCCTTTCCATTAGAAACAGCAACGTCGGTTCCCTTCCATTGGGGATAAAAATGGCACGAAGTGGTGAAACCAAATAAAAGTCGATGATCGCCTATAAGAGGCTTTTAAGGACTGTTCCTGACACGATGAGAACAGTCGAGTCTACGTAAGCGAAACGACCCAGAGTTATATTTTCACTCTAATTACACTCCTCAAAATCTCTTTGGGAAATTTGTATGCTGTTACAGCTACAACAACACGATGAGCATATCATGCTTGGTGACTTTCATTTTAGGGTGCGCGAAGAGACATTTTAGAAACCCCAGTCTAAAAAGTCAACTTTTACTGCCAAATGTTCTGCAAATGATATAGACTGAACGACGGAACAGCAGAGTGATACTCCCATTACTCTCGAAAAGTTCATAGAGCCACTTGGGTTCCCTCTGGTCAAAGAACCAGGAAACAAATTGTACACTTGTTCACGTTGCCAGGCTGCAATCGGAGTGAATAGCGAAGAACTTTCGTAACTGGCATAAAGTAGTGGGAGACCGCTCTGCATATTTTCATGCGGCTGCGGCGGAGTTGATTACCAACACCAACGCAGACACAGCTAATATGACGAGAATTTTAGAGCCGCTGCTGTTGAGAAATATACAGCACATGAGCCGCCGTGCAGGCAACGGTGGAGAAGGGAAGCGTGGAGACATCTTTTTTGAAAAGTAGGAAAAGAAGGCAGAAATCGAATGGTTTCAAAACCGTGCCTTCATGAAAAGGTGATAACAGACGTCAATACATACGACATATGGAGGGAATACTTCTAGCGATATTAAATAGCAACACCGGCAGTAAGTTTGATGAAGGATCCAGAAAAATTTGTTGGTGTGGATTGATTATTCCGACAGGGTGGTAAGAATACTTATTTTGGAGTGAACTTCCGTCATCCCTTGTCAAGTTTGGTTTGGGGACAAAACAGTTTCGGCGTTGTACCATTTTCACAACAAAAAATTAGAATGTAATGTACACGTGCCTTCTTTCGACGAAGGCGAGGTGAGGACAGCTATAATAAGGCTGAATAACAACAAAGGTCCTAGAGCCAGCGGAACACTAGTTGAATTGTCCAAAGCTCCAATAGCTTGTCGGACGTACGATGGTACATTTCTAAACACTGGAGACTCAGTTCACTTTGCCCCATATGAAGGATACAATTGCGTTCAAGGTGCTATTGACGATACTTTTAATCAGCTGATTGGCCATGTCAGTGTGGATTCAGGCATGGGAAATCCACATTAACCAGATATACACAATGCGTCTAATACGGCTGCGCAAAATATAGTTAAGCTCAACGTTTAGCTCCGTTCGAAAGACCTCTCCACACCAAGAGACTTCAAAGAATAATACCCAACTGTTTATTTAAATTCTTTTTAATATTACCGATTTTTATGACTCTTCTCTTTGCGTTTTTTTTTTGGTGTTAGTTTTTCAAGGATTCTATACCATTTCTACGAAAATATGTTTTTTGAGCGCTCGGAGCGACCTCTAAATATTTTTCTGAATTAAAAAAGAAAAAGGATATATTTTTTTCGACATAGAACAGTCCTAGGGGGGTGGGAGCATTAAAATTCCGACTTTACTTTCTTTGGATCATCCTATTGTAAATATATCAAAATCATAATGCTATTGGTGTATGCAGATGATTTTGACATGGTCGACTTTAAAACCAGTAGCCCGTTTCTGTAACTCTTCTCTACCGATTATTTCCCTACCGGTAGAGAATATACGTAATTCTCTACAACTCATTGGTAGAGGATTATTACAGAAACGAGCTACAGGACCGTGATCGAAGCATTATCTAGCATTGTCTGACTACATATAAGAGCAAAAAAACATCAATCCCTTTCACTATGGTCTGGCGACTACTATTTGCTGTCCAAAAGTCTAGAAGTAACCAAATGGATTTGAAACTTGGTATTTGAGGCCGCTGAATTCGAATATGATGTCAGATTTTTTAAATTCAAAATGGCGGATCCAATATGGCGTCGAAATTTTATAATTTGTTCCTTTGCACCAAAAACTTATAGTATACATATCAGGGGGGTTTTCAAAATGGCAGATTTCAAATCTGATATCAGATTTTTGAAATTCAAAATGGTGAATCCAATATGCCGTTATCGGATGCGGAGCTAAATAATTTAAGTATAAAATAGCAGACCACAATTTTGCTAAATATTTGTTTTTAAATCATACGTGCTTCAAACTTGTCTCTTTTGTGTATAAGTATCACGGGTATTTGTATTTGTATGAATTTGTACTTATTTATTTGTAAAAACTCTAGTTAAAAAAAAACATAACGTACAAGTTTGAAAAAAAAGGAAAAATGTATTTTTCACCTATGTACTTGCATATCATTCTTGCTCTTTCCTTTTTTCCTTGTAGGTGTCATATACTTCGGGGAGCAACCTGTTAATAATATTTTGCGGCAAAAGTTTCAAACATCGGTTCTTTTGCATCTATGTTGACTGCTTCTTTTCAATATTCGAAAAGCACGGAAAAAAACCCGAAGAAGTTTTCTAAGAGAAAAGCTTATTAATCAAAAATTGCAAGAAATTGCAACATGATTCTCAGCCCACAAACTCTAAATTAAACATTTTCATTGCCCACAAAGCTTGAAAACCACAAATTTGTATAGCTCTATTTAGAGTGGAATATTTATTAGAGTCCATTTTGAAAATGAGTTTTATTTTATTCAGCAAACTCTATTCTACATAGTTTTCTAGTTTTTGTTAATCAAATAAATATTATCTTCATTATACATTTCCGTTCTCCCTTTCATCTTTATCACGCGACGGGAAAACTATTTAAGAAAATAATGAGTATGCACTTTTGTACTCTGGAGAATTGATTTAGTGAAGGGCAAAAAGAAATCGATTTATCGATACTTTAAAATATGACTTTTGGCCAGCAAATAGTAGCTGCCAGACTACAGTGCATTGTGCTGTTTGTTTTTTAAGTTTGCCTGATATTTTTTAGCTTAAAATTTGTATGGAGCGGTGAGCAGCAAACGTTATGTGCGCTCATGAATAGTTGTCGATAAAATCAAAATTACTTGTTTTTAAATGGAAATTGGCTAAGCTTGGTTTTTTACACGTTAAGCGTAGATGTGTGTATGCATATGCTTGTAAAAAGCACGCCTAATAAATAATAATAATAATATTGGCGCTTAAACTTTTGCCGAGCTTCTCCTCCAATTTGTGGTTCATACCGCCTCCGAATGGCAAATGGATTTTATGAGAAGCTTTTTCATTGGAGAAATACACTCGTAGATTTACGATTGCCTGCCGATGGGCGACCGCTGTTAAGAAAGAATATTTTTCTATATTTTTTTTTGCGATGTTGCTTTGACCAGGGCTTGAACCCAGGCCCTTCGGAGTGGTAGAACGCACGTCTAACCACTTGGCTACAAAATATTGTAACCGGCAATTTTTGGATCTTTTCCAGGCAGTAGTTTTAGTGCTCTTGAAGTGATTTTTCCCGTGTTTTACTTTTCGGGATATTTCGGAATTTTTGTGAATAATCTAAATCTAATTCTAAAGGTATGAGTTAATTAGTTTTCAGTTTCTTCGTTTCAAAAACGGCTTCTCTAACCCAAACTTTTAGTTGTCGTATTGAACTGAAATGCAAAATCTGTTCCTTTTAATAAATTTTATACGTCTTAGATTGAAATATTTAGCTTAATTGTGGATTTGGGGCGATTTTTCTCGCAGTCGTTCCTTGCACTACTCTTTTAAGTAAAAACCAATTTTAAACCATAACTGTTAGTATTGGATGTAAGAAGTGTTATTAAAAATATTAAAATTTACATATGACCATTCTTTTATGTACAACTTATGATTTGTGAGTGTGATGAGTAAACTACATACATTAAATTATTTATAGCCAATTCTAAGTGCCAATTATTCAGCAGTTATCAACGCTACGAAAATTTTATATACAACTGCCCCGAAAATCCCGGTTAGTGTTTTTAAACTACAGCCAAAAAAATACGATTACAAAAATACGGTATACAGCCAACGTTGTTTGTTGTTGTAAGTTTCAAAAACTACATTAAAAATAGTAAAGTCGATTAGGGAAAACAAATTCCACCAAAGCCGCAATTGCTGTAGCTGCAGTAGTAGTAGTAAATAGAAGCAGCAGAGTTTAAGCCAAAGCGCGCTGCAGCTGTGTGCATTTTGTGAGCGTGAGGAGGGTTATAAACCAAGTAATAGTAGTAGTAATTTTTGTTGTTGATAAGCTAGGTAGAAAATCCCAAACCAACTCTGACTACGTGCAGCTTTCATTCGGCATTTGGCTTAAATTTTTTCCCATTTCATTTGACACATGCGCCAATGTCCTTCCTTGACTACTTACAGCTGCTGTTGCAGTTCCTGCGCAGCTATTGCTGTGTTGCAGTTGTTGTTGCTGCTGCTGGTGTTGCTGCAATTGCTGCACGATGTTGGGGCGCTGCGATAGCGGGAATGCCGCCGCCATATTATCGCGATGTATAGGTGTGCAGGTGGACACGAGCGGATAGTTGAGCAGAGTGTCGATGCTGTTGGGCGGCGGACGCGGACCAACACCACCACCCCCACCACCTTGGCCAGCCACGTTCAAATTCGAGAAACTGCCTCTATGCGCTGATGCTGACTCTTCCAGCATGCCGGGTTGACGCGGCGGCAGCGGCGGTGGTACGCAATCAGTTTCGCAGTTGCTGCCATCAGCTGCCGCACCGCCGGCAGCGTTGGCGCCCACTGACGTCTCCATTTGTAGGAACATTTGCGTTGACATCTTTGGATCGGAGAGCGCTTTCGTCTTGGCTTTAGAGCGTTTCTTTTGTGATGAGGATGCCGCGGCTGCGCTGCTTTGGGCAGACGCACTCGGCGGTGGCGGCAAAGTTGGTTGCGGCGATTTACCCTGCGGACTGCCAGCCAAGTCTAGATCGGAAATGGGTGCAAATAGAGACGCACTGTTGCTGCAGCTGCTATTGCTCATTACGCCCGCCGCGTTGTTGCCGTTATTGTCTAGCTGCAACTGACGCGGCGGATTGCGTTGCGGCAACGGCGGCGGTACATCTTCTTGTATGCTGTGCGTTTTCGCTTGAGCGGCGAATTTATTTTTACTTTTGGAGCTCGACGATTTTGGCGTTTCTTTGAGGCGCGCCTGCAGCTGTTGTTGTTGTTGCTGCTGCTGCTGGTAGAAGAGCGACTGTTGAGCTGAGTTGCGATGCTGTTGTTGTTGCTGTTGCGTTTGTGTTTGCGGTTGATGCAACGATTGTGACATATTGTAGGGCGGCAGCGGTGATGTGGTCGCATTGTTGTTGTTGGCATGGTGTTGGTGGTGATGATGTAGAAAATCCGTTGTATTATTCAATGGCGCAGTAATTAAATCTTTATCAATTTTATTTTTGCGCGTGCCCAGCGAAAGTGAGGACAGCGAGCGGGGTAAGAGTGAGAGGAAGGCAGGAGAGGATTGAACTTGTGGTTGTGGTGTGATGGCCTGATGATGATGTGCTTGTAGATGCTGGTTGTGGTGGTGTTGGTGGGAGGAGGACACAGATAAATGGTGTATTTGCGTAGGCGAGAGGATTGCGGTATTTTTATTGTTGTTGGCAGTTGGTTGCAATTTGATTGTTGGTGCATCCTGTTGAAAGTGGTGAGACAGTAGAGACAGGCTGTAGTTGCAGTTGTTTTGTTTTCTTTTTTTTTTGTTTGAGGTTGTTGGAAAAGTTTAAAGAATTTGATTGCGAGATAGTATTTAAAGTCGCAAATATGTAGGTGTTGAAGGTTAAGTGAGAACGATAGGAGTTAAACAAAGCTATGTTCTTTATTATAGTATATATATTTTGTTGGCGAGTAGATGTATGTGGTAAAAGAATTAGAATTATGCAATAGACACAGGGAGATTGTGTTTGCCCTATGTTTCAATAGAATTCGCATATGTTAATGTTGTCCAAGACTTTTGTCAAACCGGAATGATGTAGGCTGGAATCCTAAACGTATTCATACAAAGCATCCATGCCTTTTATCTATAACCGACACGATGCAGAAATTTTCAGAATGCGCAATAATGGAAGAATAATAATTTTTAACTGGATTTTGAAAATTACAATTTTAAATCTATTCCGGTTTATAAATAAAAGACATGACCGCTTTGTGTTAATACGTTTAGCAATATTTAAACGTTTTCTTTCACATTTTATTAGATTTCTTTTTGCTTTTAAGGTTAGTGAGGATTTCTCATTTTAGTTTTCATTTTATCATTTTATAAACTACGTTCATTTTGATTAAATTCAATTTACCCTTTCACTAACTTTTTGTTCAAACATTTTATTTTAATTTATTTACTATGTAACCGCTTCCATTGTATTTTACTTTATTCTATTACATTTTTATAATATTACATATTTTTTTTATTTTATTATATTTAATTTCATATTTAATTTTACTTTATATTTTTATTTTTCTATTATATTTATATCCATATTTCATTTTATTTTCTTTTATTATATTTTATTTTTTAATGTTTATTTATTTTTTATTTTATTTTACTTTATTCTAACTTTTTATTTATTATTTTGTTATTTTATATTATTTTATTTTATTTTATTTTATTTTATTTTATTTTATTTTATTTT